AGAGTGTTCAATTAAGTAGAAACACATACAGTAGATATTGACAAGCCAGAGTATAAAACGTGAATGTCCAATCTTGCTTTACCGAGATATTGCCATATTTGTCGTACTCGCATGACACGCCCTTCCATTTCTCTGTCTTTCAATACACATCTAAAATTCTTTCTGACGTTACTATTGGACATGTTTGTAAACAATAGAAAGAGTAAATATTTCTTTACATGATTCCTTATATGTTTATTTCCTTTGATGTGGCCAAGTAGAAAGTTTCCTTGAGATTCATTGTCTGTAATTGATGTGTTCAGTTTTGAGCAGATAACAGAAAATTTTTAACCTACTTATACTTTAGCTAGAAAGCCGGTTAAGTTATAGTGATTTTTGGAAATGCTGTTATAGTGCCGGGTACAATTTTTGTGCATATTTGAAAGCAGCATGAATTATTTTAAGGGCAACCAACACTGTATGAAAAAAAGTAGTCTTATCAAAGTATGTTATTGAGTACAAATAGGCCCATAGCAAAGGTAAGCCTAAAATTTATAAAATAACTTTTATTTATTTTTATATGTTTTTAACAAAATTAACTAAAATGTAAAAATTAGAAATTTATTGATTTAGATGACAAAACATGTATGAAAAAATTACTCATGATCACTGGGCTTGCACGGTTCACAAGGTTTGAGGTTGTGTGATGTAACGTTATTGGTTTGTTTACCCTAATCACTCCTGCTGAGGTTTAATTATTTTTCACCTACTGAGGTTCAAAGTACAATAAAAGTAAGTGAAAGCAGAAGTGAGAAGGTTAGAAGCCGATAGGATGAGTAATCGTCTGTTATGATGTGTAGTTATTCTAAAAAAAAGATATTTTTGATTTTATTTCATATTTTTCAACTTTTAATTTTAATGTAACTTGGGGATTTCACTACAGTAAATGTTATATAGAAAAAAAAACTAACTTGATGCTCATTTAGGAGATTCAAGAGGTTATGTAAATGAAATAGGAAAACTGTTAGATGAAAAGAAATATTTTTATTTGTAGCCTGAAAATCAACTGTTACTCAGACTGATTCAGTAAAGGCTTCATAAATTACAGACAGGTCTTTAGTAAAGATAATTTATTAAAAAATTGATTTTTTGTGTACATCATAATTTTAATGTTTTAGTTACTAAAAGCATGCTAAATTAACAAAGCCCATATACAGAGTTAACTATCGTTTCTATAACCAAGAACTTGTAATCAGTATTTTCGACTTTGAAGAATTATTGTACAAAGGCACATAAAATATATCTGTCCTATACACAAATGAAAATGTTTAGGAAGAAGGTTTATAACTATAACTTTGTTGTATTTATGCATTTAGATGACCTTAATGAGTGTTATTGTATGTACTTCAAACAAAGCTACATTGATTTTGAACTCTTTGAAAATTGTTAACAGATTATTAGTCAAGTATGTTTTTTAGTTGTTAATATTGTCATCAGGTAAGCTGTATATATATATATATATCCTTAAACTTGTAGTAATTCAATTTTTTATCTAAAATTTTTCTGAATATTAATATTTTTAAATGACTAACACTTCTCCTTTTTACATTTTTTACACCTTATGAGTGAAAATAAGTTCTTTATTTTTACACTTTCTATTATTTTTCTTAGCAAACAGCAAAGTGTAAATGTGTTTACTGTATATTAATTCAATGCATTGCTGAATTAAATGTTAATGTTCTGAATTATTATTCCAATACATACATCCATATGTGGTTTATCTGTAGGATAAATATGGTATCTCTGCTGTTGTTGCTCGCAAGCTTGCTGGTTTGAGCACCACAGGGTAAGCTGTTTTTGATTGCATTAATACATATGATTAAAATTTTTGTATATAAA